GCACTGGTTACTTCTGTTCACAGGCCTCCTCAACTTCATCATCATTGTAGAGACACGATCCTTTCCTTTAGAGCTGAAATCAGAACCTGGACTATATCTGTTCATCCCTAATACAAATCCTTTCATGAATACACTCGCTATAATACCCTGTCTCTAGATCTTTAACAAAATAGTAAATGATCACTTACAACATTATCTCTGTACCTGCCTTCCTCCAGGGAAACCATGTAACAATGTTGAACCCCTCTGCCTTCTTTTAAGGCCAGTGAACCGAAATGTGCTGAATGAAAAGGAACATTTCCATCCGAATGTGGGAAAGAGGTTCTCCTTACCTCAAAGATGTAATGGTGTGTAACCAGATAACGGCATAGACTTTGCAATACTTTATTTTCTTAAGAACACACTGTAATAATTATACGAACATCTATCATTTCAGTTGAGTGCCTAACCTCTCTGCTGTGGTATGTTGGAACAAAGAAGGTGAAGAGCAAGATTTACAAAGCAACCCCACCACCAAGGTGTTCTTTGGAAGATTGATATAAATATGATATCTCTAATATTTGTTTAAAATAAGTTGGAAATATATCAGTTTTTTTTGTTGTTGTTGTTTTTTTAATGTATCTTCCATAAAATTTTCCAGGAAAACACCTTGCCTTTCTTCTCAGGCCAAAATCATGCACACAGCATTTTGTATAATGGTCAGGGTTAAATTAGATGAAGCATCAGAGATTTTCAACATAATCCTTTTGGGGGGAACATTGTGTGAGAGGATGGCCTGAGGATATTGTGTGAGAATTCCTCTGGGAACACAGAGCTCACTAGTAAGAGAGATAATGGCTCATAGACACTAAAATTATGCATTTCAACTTCCTCCACAAGTCTTGTTTCATTGCAGTCCCTCATTGCAAGGTGAGGCTCCGCACCTTAAGATAGGAAAGGGCTTATCTTCAACTTCTAGGTGGTGCAGAAAGTCTTGAAAATCAGGTGAGCCCCTTGAGGCAGGGAATTGCGCAGAGATTGCTAAATCCTTTTATTTTGCTTCACCACATCAAGGGCTAAGAAAAAAGGACTCCTGTGTTTTTCCTCTAGTGGAAAGGGGATGGGAAGTGAAGGGAATGGTTTGAAGAAGTGAAATTAGGTAAGGAGAGATGGAAAAGCCCTGAGACAGAGTCTCAGGAAAATACAGAAGAGAGCTTGAGGGTCACCTGCCCAGAGCCACCCTAGGTCCCCCTAGTCATGAGCCAAGAGGCTCACCATGGGGCTGCCTGTGGCAGAGTGAGACCACTCCTTGGCAGAGGCTGGGGTAGCCCCCCAGGCCAATGGAAGACTGAAAGGGCCGCAGCCCACAGAAGCTGAGTATGACCCTCGGCAAGCTGAGAGGTTGGATCATAGACTCCAGAAGCTGCAGATTTCAACAAACTATAGAAAGCAATCATCTCCAGAGGAAAAACACCTGTTCCCAGGGAGCAAAGGGCAGAGAGAGCCCCTTTACCAAGGACCCTCCCCCTACCACCAGCATCTTCTCCACTAGGATGCATAAAGCTTCTTCCCAGTCTTCACTGGAAAGCCATTTTAAGGCTGACTAGAGAGGAGGAGGAGGCCAGCTGGGAGACTGTCTAAATTTATTCAAATGAAATTTTGAATTTTTTTCTTAAAACGGCTATTTAAATCATCAACTCAATTAGACGTTTGGATATTTATTTATTTTTTTTCTCCCAGCTAGCCAGTTGGAAGGGGCTTGGAGTAATGTTGCGAGTTCAATTTACCATCTTGCTATAGCTTTTAAAAACAATTTAAAAGGACAAAAGTCCGGCTATCCTTAGTTATATTGAGATAATGTTTAGAACTATAAAGCCTAGAGTTACAGGGTATTTGAAGTTTTTTGAAACCCCCCTACCCACCACTCTGATTCTAGAATTACTGCTATTTCCTGCTTGGAAAATGTTGCTTGCCACTTATTTTGCTGTGAAAAGAAAACTGCTCTGAAAAATAAAGTCTGGTTAAAAAAAAAAAAAATCCTCTATTACCTTCTTAAATTCTTCTAGGGGTGGAAATGGCCATCACAGAACCAAGTGTAAAACATGACTCTCTTCTCTTATGTTGAAATCTGATTTTTCTATTTCTTTTACCCATTTCCTCTGGAACACTTTTAGGAAATCTATCTCTCTCTCTCCCTCTCTCTCTCCTCCCTCCCTCTCCTGTTTTTTTCTCTTCCTAAGTAAGTCAGCAATTACTTAGTTCCCACAACAAAGTCTGAAATCATAAATGAAGGTAGACAGTAATTTAGTCTTTGGGAGCTTGAGATATCCTCTAGTTAGGATGGTGACAACAGCAAACCATAGAGAATACAGGCCGGTACACTGCTTCCCAGTCATATTGACTCAAAGTTGTTTTTCCTCTTTCTCTGAACTAATAGACTTTTCTTTTTTAAAAAATAACTTTAAGTATAATCCCAATCGTGGTAAAATTTCCAAAGGTAATCTGGAACCGTTCTTCTTAGAATCTAAGTGGAACACAAAGCAACTAAGCCCACATGTATGTGTTTTTAACTAATCCCTTGAAACAGTAAAATTCAAATGGCAAAGTCAGACAACTTGCAACAACATAATATATTTGTTTATTTAGTTCATATTACAATGGTAACAGGTTAAGAGCACTAGATTTGTATCCTCTTAAGAGGATAGTGTTTAAGATTTGTGAATTTCATTGTTCTTAACCATTAAAAATCTATTTTCCAAAGGAGTAATAATATATATTATTATCAAGGGACAGATCTAAACTTTATGATGTATAACCAAAGCATATATTTGTTCCTTAGTTTAAACAAAACGTTAGAGACATTTTAACTCTTGGTTACTGCTTTCAGGAAAGCACAATGTTCTTGAAGCAAATATTACACAAAACATCTTTTTCCATGATTTCAACCATTGTGTATCATGTCAATGAGAGAACCTGACAGCCCCAGACAGTATCTCCCCAGGGTTGTAATACACTCTGGCTTACTTAAACAATCAACCAACAAACATGTATTTAGTGCCTACTATGTACATGCCAGCATACTAAAGCAATACAGGAAATACAAAGAAGTAAAATTATTGGTCCTTGCCCTGCTCAGGCTTCCAATGTAATTGGTAAGGTTAAACACAGACACAAATGACTCTACTTTCAATGTGTTCGAAAGAAGTGACAATGTTAACTAGATTGTCTATCAGAATCGTCTATGCCGGAACCTAGAAGAAGCAGGGACATAAACAGGGACGTTCTAGGCACTGATTACAATTGGTCTGCATCAGATTTCTCAGCTCCAGGCTTCAGTGTCCCTGGAACGCCCATATCTGAAAGTGCTCCAGCCAGCCTCGCATTGTTTCCTGGACTCATGACGACGGAGCAAGATAAATAGACGGCATGGGTAAAAAAAAATATATATATATATAAATAAAACCATACATAAGGTGATGTTGAAAGGAATTCAGGACATTCCACTCTGCACGGGAGGGAGGTGGCTGACCCACGTTATCATTTATGTATTTATGTATTTACTATTAAGACAAACAAGAGACTACATAAGAAAAAGTATAAGAGAATCTCCAAACTTCACTGAATACAAGCAAAAATAGAAGGATAAAAAAAGGGGGGGCCAACAAAGAGGACAGGTTTTGAGGGGTCTTTGGGGAGAAAGCCTCCCCCCACTGCCACCTCGATCCCCATCCCCAGTGTCCTGAAGGAAAGGGCCTGGGCTAGGCAAGTATAGAAAAGCAAAGCAGAGACACCTTTCCAAACATCACAAATAAATAAATAAATAAATATGTTAAACAAGAAAATAACTTATTAGGCACCGCTTGAAAGGCAGCAACCTTCAGGGGCCAGGCAGGCCACACTCTTTAGCCTGCGGGCGGCAGCAGCGCTCTCGGGATTGGCCAAGGCTCAAAAGGCGCCACCGAGGTCCCGGCCCCGGCGCCTGGTCTCCGAGATAAGCCGGAGCAGGAAACCAAGTCTGTTGTTGCTCTCACGTCTGCGCCGCCGGCGGCTTAGGGGAGGGAGCAATCCTTGCGCCGCGCAGACTCCCGGGCGGCCCCGGGGAAAGTGCGTCCTGCCCTATGGGGCCAATTCCAGACCCGCGTGGTCCCGGGAGTGCCCAGCGCTTGGTCTTTGAAATCAAAAGCGCTGGTTGTGAGCCTGAAAAGAGGGTGGTTTCTATTACAACCCCTTCTCCGCCAAACCCTGGAATCTGCTGAAAACTCCTGGGTCGCTAGTTGTCCGTTCCTTTTTGCTCCAGATGGGGACTGCAGAATGCCTGGGGTTCGAAGCGCGGGACCGATTTTACTAAGCACCTGGCTCCGCCCCGGGTGGAGTGCGAGCGGTGAAAGGGTTCTTGGAAGGGCACGACTTCACCCGAGAGTAGGAGAAAAGACCAACTGCCTAGTTCATTCCCGAGTCCTCCTTCAAACAGAACTGAGCCCAGAGAGCGGTGATTCTCCAGACTCCGCTAGGGGCACCAGGCAGAATCTGGCGAGCGGAGGGGACGCGGCAGGGAGGGGCTGAGGGCGAGTCGGGGACTCACCCCGTGGGAAACCCGTGGCGGTAACTGCGGCTCAGCTCAAACAAAAATTACGGCTGGCCGGGCGGAGGGTCAGGCTGAGTTGACGACGTTTATGAGTTCATGATCTGCACCTGCAGGACGGGGCGGAAGGAAAGATCCAAGTTACAGAGTGGGGAGCATAGCGGGGCGCAGAAGTGCAAGCGCAGTGGAGGAGGGAGCGAAAGTACCAGACGAGGAGAAAGGGGCCAGCTAGCCTTCCCAATTTATAAGCAAAGTGCCCAATTCCACCTTTGTCGCGCGACTTTCCCGGGTCTCTCCACCCCACTCGCACACAGTGTCTTAGCCCCACTTTGCCCCACCGCACCCAGACGCCTGGGATACTTTCACCTCTAGCACCCGGCCTCCCTTCCTCCTCATTTTCCTCCTCCTGCCTTGCGCAGGGTCCTTGCGTGGCCAAGGCTCAGAGAGTCGTGATCCGAGACGTGCAGGTGCCATTACGGAAGACACCGCCTCCGGACTCGAGGTTCTCCGGCTGGAAGTCCTCCACGCTGTAAGCGCGGCTCTTGAGGGCCGTAGCGTAGTAGTCGACAGGCTCCTCGGCGGCGTTGTCCATCCAGCTGAGGCAGAGGATGCGCTGGAAGGAGCGCTTGAAGTTGTCCGAAAGGAAGCCATAGAGGATGGGATTGGCGCAGCTGTTGGCGTAGCCCAGGATGACCGACAGCTGGCTCACCGTGGCGTCGTCCTGCTCCGCAAACACGTTGACCAACTGCACTACATAGAAAGGCATCCAGCAGATGACAAACACCATCACCACCATCATCACCATTAGGGTGATCTTGCGCTCCGAGCGCTTGCGCTGCTGCCAGCCGGCCTTGAGGGCCACCATGCGCATTTTGGCGATGATGAGCACGTAGCACAGGCAGATGGCCCCGACGGGCAGCAGGAAGCCCATGAGAAATGTGTACAACACGAAGCCCACTAGCCAGCGCTGAGCGGGCTCAGGCATGAGCATGTTGCAGGCCACCGTGCCATCACTGTTGGCCGCTGTGCGTGAGAAGACCACAATGGGCAGAATGACAAGCAGCGATAGCACCCATACACCCAGATTCACTACCTTGGCCACGGTGGGCCGGCGGTAGCGTGCTGCCTTGATGGGGTGCACTACGGCCACGTACCGGTCCACGCTAAGCACAGTCAGACAGTAGATGCTGGTGAACATGTTGACTGCGTCCACGCTGAGCACGAGGCGGCAGAGCAGCGCGCCGAAGGGCCAGTGGCGAAGCAACGTGGAGGTGACCAGGAATGGCACACTGAGCATGAGCAGCTCATCGGCGATGGCAAGATTCAGGATGTAGATGTTGGTGGCCGTCTTCATTTTGGCGTAGCGGAGGATCACGTAGATAACCATGGAGTTACCACACAGCCCCACCAGGCACACCACGGAGTAGATGAAAGAGATGAGGATGGCGCTGCCCTGGCCCTCGCTCAAGGTCCCGTTCTGGGACGCATTTCGCCCTGGCTCCTCCATGCCGTCCGCAGCGCCGGCCCCGGGGCCCCTGCTGCCGCCGCCTTCGCCGCAGCTGCCCGGGCTGGGGCTAGGAGAGGAAGGAGAGGAGGCAGTGCCATTGGGGAACATTTCAGCTGCTGGGGGCCGATGGGGCTACTGAGGCTGGGGCGCTCTCCTCGCGCCCCCGGCGCTTGCGCCCTCACTAGGCACCCGCCCGCCTGCCCGCAGCTCACTGCTGCCGGACACCTGGGGGTAGCACACAGCGGCTGTGGAGAGCTTGGCTCCGACCGGCGCCGGCGGGGCGCATTGCCCAGCGGCGGCTTGCGGGCAGCCGCTTGCAGCTCCGGGGCGCTTGGGCACAAGCGAGCGTGGAGAGGGGAGGCCAGGAGGCTGGAGCCCCGCTCCGCACAGCCATTAAGTGGCGCGGCTGGGGGCTGGTGAATGATTAATAGACACCACCAGCGCGTCAGCAGCTACGAAAAGGGAGGCGTGTGGGAGAGAAAGAGGGAGGAAGGCGATATAGGTGGCTTACCACCTCTCGCCCAATTTTTTTTCTTTCCCAGTCCTGTGCTCGGATCAACTCCAGCCGCTGCTTCGGGGTGGGGAGGGGGGGTTCCCCTGCAGTACCCTATACTCGTCCCTCAGGGAGAAGTGGGGAGTTTCTCCGCCTTCCTGGAGGGTGGGTGGGAACCAAAGGTGTAGACTCTGTCCCACCCCACCCGGCTCCTATCCAGTGAAGCAGACCCCGGGCACAGATGTCTGGAGTTCATCTCAGTTTCCCTCAGTTGCTGCCCCGTCCTGAGAGACCCCCAACTCCACTTTCATCCCATTGTCTGGGGCCCTAAGCCCCCATCTCCCGCTCCCGCTAGCCCTGCCGGTCCAGACCCGCCGCGGAAGCTCTCGGCCCCCCTTACCCAGGGCGCGCTACCTCCAGACCGCCGCGTAGATGGCCCGTGCAAAGTGCCTGTGCGGTCTGGTGGCACGGTGACGTTCTTCTCGCAGTCCAACTCCTTTCTTTCGGCCGGACCCCCGCACAGGCGCCCACGCAGATACTCTTAGAGTCGCTGAAACTGACCCTGAGCCGTGTTAAGAGGAGGAAGGACAAAAACCGTGCGTTAGGAGATTCTGCGTTACAGCACCGCAGGCAGCTCTTCGCGGGCGGGAGTGATTTAGGGGCCTGAGTAAACCATTGCGAATCTCTTAATAAAGCTTGTAGTGCCCACAGCCCCCTGCGTCTCCCAGAGGAATATAGACTGCAGAAAGGAGGACGCGCGGCTGGGAGCACGCAAGGAGCCTGAGGCTCCCTCCCGAACGTGCCAGGCGCGATATTGGAAATCCATCTAGGTGTTCACTGGGGAAAGATACGGCTGCGCCGCTGGGAAAGGCTCCGCCTGCGTCCCTGCTGTACTTTGTACCCGAGAGAGTTGGCGGGCCCCGGGGGAGGAGAGTGTAAAGGCCTGGGAGAGCAAGGATGCCAACTCCTCTAAACCCAAGTGGAACCCGCCATGCAGGTGACCACATCTGTCACCAACTCCACAAACTGGCAGGAACACCTTCGGGTCTCTCCGTGATTACTAGAATTTCAGCCTTTTCTGAGGCCCCTGGACGTGTGACCGCGTTCTAGTTCGGGTTCCTAAACTTGTAAGAGACAGAAATCCATGCAGGCACGCCTAAAGCTCGCCTGCTTCACTTACGAATTGAATGGTTTCTGTGTTAAAGAGTGAATGTTTGATTACCATGATTTTTAACCACCTCCGGGACTTCCCGCTATCCCTAGCCTAGGCTCCCTTTGGCTGTCGGCTGGTTCCGGTTCAGGGAAGGATCACTTCATCCAGCTCTCCCGTCCCTTTTCAAACGCCCATCAGGTCTTTCTCTGAAAGTTGCCTGTTCCGGAAAGGCTGACCTACAGCAGCCTAGTGCTAGGCCTCTTTCAAACTCTAGCTTTGTCTTGGAGTTTCTTGTTAGTTCTTCCTTCCTCTCCACTAAGTGGGGCACCCCCCCTGCCCTGGATCTCCTCCTTCCCTCCCATCAATACAGTTTCACACTCAGGAGAGGCCACCTGAGACAGAAACTAAACTCCTCATTGAAGCTATTTGTACTAGACAGTTCAGCATGCAGAAATGGATGCAGAACCTGAAAGGAAAAAATAAGAAGTGTAAGTCCTATTGCCCTGTTTTCTATGGACAATCTTTTGCATATGTGTGTTTTAATTCTCAAAACTAAATTTCCTGAAAGGAAAAGAGTAGCTTCTGAAGTGTGTTGATTATACCAATCAAAGATAAATTACGTCAGGCCCTCACAGGAAGGTGTGCAATGGACACTGAATTATTAATGAGAAATGTACCAGGAAGGAATTTGAAATTTCATAAGGCCCAAGGTGTTTAACCCATTACTTTTTTTTTTAAAGATTTTATTTCTTTATTTGACAGACAGATCACAAGTAGGCAGGGAGGCAGGCAGAGAGAGAGGAGGAAGCAGGCTCCCCGAGGAGCAGAGAGCCTGATGTGGGGCTAGATCCCAGGACCCTGAGATCACTACCTGAGCTGAAGGCAGAGGCTTTAACCCACTGAGCCACCCAGGTGCCCCCACATTACTTTTTTCTAAACAAATTCCTTTTTACCTTTTACCAAATGATGGTTAGTTGTGTTTTATTTTCTGTAAAAAATACTGAACATATGGAGGCAAAAGAAGAAGGAGGAAGAGGAGGAGGTAGAGGAGGAGTTAGAGGGGAAGAGGGAGAGGGAGGAGGAGAAGGAGGGATATGTTCATCAAGTGTTTTTAAAAAATGGCCTTTTCCCCCCTAGAAGAGCTTTTTACAAGCCAAGCCTCATAATGGTTTGGATGCCTCTTTGCTAGTCACTGACTAAAGACACCTGGCTATTCTTCAGGGGGCTGACATTTCAATAGTCATCATTTAGATGCCTTGGCATTGATCATGGTTGCTGGGGGGTGGGGGAGGATGGGAGCCGGTAAAGCAGAGCTCTGTTGTCAGACTCTCATATGTTCATTTTGCAGCTCTCCTTAGGGAAATCTCTCCACTTAGTGGTAGCCTCATATATGAAAGAAGAAAACTTAAGACCCAACATGAATGTGTTTGTTTGCTTGCTTGTTTCTCAAGTCGTTTCTATGATGAATTAGTTATCCATTAAAAAAAGATTGACAAGGAAATATCACTTACACCCACTAGAATGGCTCTAAGAATTATTTTAAAGGAAAAAAAAAAATGTTGGCCAGCATGTGGAGAAATTGGAACTCTTATATGTTGCCAGTGGGAATAAAAAAATGATGCAGCAGCTTTAGAATGTTTGATGATTATTCAGATATTAAAACAGAATTCCATTTGACCAAGGAACATGCTTCCCCTAGGTATTTGCCCCAACAAATTGAAAATAGGTGTTTGAACAAACATGCTCATGGCAACATCATTCATAATAGCCAAAGAGTCAAACCAAATATCCATTAACTAAGGAATGGATAAACACAACGTGGTGTATCCTCGCAATACATTATCCATCCATAGATAGGAATGAAGTACTCACACACGAGCCTGGAAAACATTATGCAAAGCAAAGGAAGCAAAACAGAAAAAGTCGTGTATTGCGTGATTCCATTTATCTGAGATGTCCAGAATAGGCAAATCCATAGAGACAAAGCAGACCAGAGTTTGGCAGGGGCTGAGGGGAGAGGAACGGAGAATGATCGCATAATGGATGTGGGGTTTCTTTTTTGGGTTACGGAAATGTTCCGGAGTTAGATAATAGTGGTGGTTGTACAGCACTGTGAATGTACTAAAAGCCACTGAATTGTGCATTTTGAAAATGGTTAAAATTATGATTTTTATGTCATGTGAATTTTACTTCAATAAAAAGAGAGCCATCGAGATGGGTATGAGCCATGCAGTGTTATATGGAATCTTTTCAGTCACATATTTCTTAACATTGTATCTGTGAACTAATCCATGAACAAACAAAAACAATCGAGCAAAAGGCAGCATTTCTGGGCTAAACAATATGAGACTGAGGTTGCAGCTGTTTTTAAATTACATTAGGAACAGGAGCCCAGTTAGGAATCTGCCTTCCTCTCAGACCTTAATTTAATGTCTCTTGATGAGACAAGAACACTAATGTGGGCATGGCATTGTTATAGTGTGTAAGAAGCATGGCCTAGGAGAAGGCAGAACTCCACAGTCTTCATGTCTTGTTTAAAAACTTATTTTTTAAAAGATTATTTATTTATTTGACAGAAAGAGATTACAAGTAGGCAGAGATGCAGACAGAGAGAGAGGAGGAAGCAGGCTCCCTGCCTAGCAGAAAGCCTGATGCAGGACTCGATCCTAGGACCCTGAGATCATGACCTGAGCGAAAGGCAGAGGCTTAACCCACTAAGGCACCCGGGCGCCTTTTTTTTTTTTTTTTTTTTTTTTAATTCACATGTCTACAGCCTGGGAAAGCTTAGGAAAGGCTTGCCCTGTGAAAGTTAACTGTCCTGCGGTCTCTCCTTCTTTGGTTACTATCTTTTTTATACTTCTGTGATATGAACATTTCTAGACATGAGAGAAGAGAGATGATGGCCTGCAAGAAGGAAAGAAGGAAAAGTCCTAATTTAGGAAGTTACAGATTCTTAAGTGAACTGTTCTTCCTCCCCATCTCAGTTCTACAAGCTGCACTCCCCTGTGCTCTCAGGTACCAGGTGCACACATGGATTACTGTATTTATCACACTGTGCTGTGATTTCTTTGTGTACTTATCTCTCCTCCCTTCTAAATCTGTAAGCTTGCTGAGAACAGTGGCTATATTTTACTTATCTTTATATCCCCAGCACCCAGCACAGTCCCTGGAAAATTGCCCAACACCTCCTTGTTTGATTTTTCTGAGGTATGCCATAGATAGGATCTTCCTTTTGTTCCAGCCCTTAAGATGTAGATACAAAGAAATGCACTTCCGGTCTCTTGCAAGGAAAGTTTTAATATCTGTGTAATACCATCATCTGTAATAATTTCTTACACATTTAAATCATTCTGAACAATTCCAATTTGCATGTCCTATATCAACAATTATCATGCTGATGATTCCTTCATTGATCATTCTTGGTCTTAAATTTCTTGGCAGAAAAAAGGCTCTGGAAAATGG